ACCAGTCACCCCTCCTGCCCCTGAGGAGGGATCTGAGAATGTGCCAAGCATCCCCCCAGTCTGGGCCAGGTGGGCCTGTATATAGGGTCCATGTACAATAGGGAGGGATGTTTTCTATTTTTTGCTGCCCGTCTCTGATGCTGGGGGAGAAGGTATATTTTTGAGCACAGTAGGGCAGCGGGCTGGTGGGCGGGGCTGCGAGCAGTGGCGGGCTACCGCACACAGAATTTTTCACGCTGAGCCCCTAGTCTTCAATAAAACTGAAGTCCCAAGTGAAATGAAACTCAATGAAAAAAAGCTGTGGTGTAGTTAATGGCTGCAAATTGGGCATTGTAATCCCAAAATAACAATGTTTAGTGTTCATAAAGATCTTTACATTGTTCAGAGTATCCTCACCTGTTCTTACATAAAGAAGAATCAAAGTGTTAGGAAGTTAATTGATATGACACAAGGATTGGACACAGAGCTTGTTATAGAACATAATTTACCCAAACCACCAATATATTCCCCCTCATGTTAGTGGCAGCCCACATGCAGATGACTGTTTTTCCTTTGGCATCATTTTTCAGCCAACATTTCTGCCATTGGTGTTGTTTTAATCCCACTTTGCCACTCCAGATAATAGGTTTTTGGGTCGCTGGTAGGTAAAATCTCAGAAAGGAATGAATGCAGTGTGGATGCCTTGGGACCAGTGACCAGTGCCCACCACGGTCACTTTATTTGACTACTCTCTACTCTTCAGTCCTTGCTCCCTCAATAACTATTTAGACTTGATTATCAAGATAGATCTATAAGTAAATCGAAATAAAGCCACTTAGTTGTGAAAAATATACTGAAATCCTCTAATGACAGGCTTCTTATAACTACTGTTAATGGTTGTTTTTGGAGCAAATGACCAGCAATGCACCTAGGCACCAAGCTATATCTGATTGACAATCAATAATTTTTTTTTCCTATCTCCATCTCCTCAGTTAACATAATGAGATCTTCCCACAATATTCTGCTTTTTCCCCATAGGCAATGACTTGCTATAAAATTGAGACCCTTGCCTGTTTACTTAAGAGCCAATTATTTCCCAAACCCAGTTGATTTATAAGTTGCTTTTTCACAAAGATCTTGCTTTAAAAGATGCAATATGTAGTTTACGATTTTATTGTGAAATTGTATTTCACAGAGAAGTGAAAAAGCAAAACTAAAAAAAGTACAGAATAATAGTTGTAATTCAGACAATTGTGTGATTAATACTCAAGAAATATGACACTATAATCAACCCAGATTTCCCTGTGAGGGTACAGCTTTTCTTCAAAATAGTCACACACATATGTAGGAAGAAATTGTGATATAGTAGAAAAGACAGAGATTCTAAAATCACACAGACCTGGGATTAATTTTGTTTTCCTCACTTATAAACTGTGTAAATTCAGCCAAGTCATTTAACCTCTTTGACCCTCAGCACAGACATCTGTAAGTGGGAATGATAAAACCCACATTTCAGTGTAGCCATGAAGTTGGTATATGTACACAAACACATGTACTTGTAGAGATGTATGTGGGGGAGCATATGACAGTAACTATTACCACTAGAAATCACACATGCTTCAAAGGCATTATTATATATGTATATACATGACAACTTTACTTATTCCAGTAATTTAAATTATAAACATTTGCCTTGACTAAAGTTTGTCTTTTCAGTGATTACAAGTCTGAAAAATATTGATTTCTGAGAAAATGGATATTTTAAATCAAAATATAGAAGATTGATTTAATAACCCTTTAGGCATTGGTTGTATGTGCTGCAAATTAAAAACATTTTTAATATATACCCAGCAGTATTTCTAATTAGATTGTACATTGTTATTTTCTAAATGTTAAAGAAGATATATTTTACTAAAATGTTCTAAATTCAGACTTTGAACTAATTGACCAAAATAGCCATCTGTAATTAATCTGACCTTACAGTGTTTCAATTAATTATTACTACATTTCTAACAATAGACTTTTGTATCAACACAATTTTTAAAATATTATGATCAATTGAATGAATTGTTAAATTGTATCATTCTAGGATAAATCTCATATCAGAATATTCTAGCATTCCATTCCTATAAAAAATTATATAGATAAATTGAGACAAAAGAGTGTTCCCACTTTTCTAGAATTCCCAGGAACTACATTGTTTTGCTTAAATAACTCTTTCACCAATGTTAATAAGAGCAAAAGAAAGTTTAGATGTCTTTTAGTATGGTCAGATTGTGAAAGGGTTAATGTGGACTACATTTAGATGATCAGCATTTAACTTTTTATCTTTAGTTTTGATTTTTGTCCTCCACCAGGGAAAACAGGAATAGGCCATTTTGTTTTCCCACACAGTGAATATATTATGTCCTTTCTATGTCATAAGTTTGAATCTCGTCTATGAAAATCTTCATATCTGATATTGACTTTGTAATGTCTTTTAGATTTGGAAATAACAATACTAACTGTGTCTACATCAAAAACTTGTTAAGGGTAAACTAACAATGTATATAAAATATACATTTAAAAACATTTAATTGTATACTAATGAAAATTATGACTACTATGTTCTCATCTTGCCAGAGTTTCGTTAATTCAATTTTCATAAGTTGTGATGTTCTTGAGATGGATTATTTTACAGATACTGCTTCACTGTTTACCTTACTCTGAGGATGTCTTTAGAATATAAAAGGAAAAGTTATGTTTATGGCTACATACTTTGTGGATTAATGGTTCTAAGAAGAATCTTAGCTTTATCTTTTCTGTTAGGTCAATTAAGTGGGAACTCACCACTCAGGAATGCACTAGTTGTTATTCAAAAACTTGGGAGAATTCACTTTCACATTAAGATGGATAAGCTGATTACTCTGACTGAAACTTGTAGCTAAGATTATCCTTTAAAATATCATGACTCAATTGAATAAATTCACTACAGACTAAGTGTGGATATAGCTAAGCACATTAAGCACATGTAGATCCATTAAGGAAGTTGCTAAACATCGTTTCCTCTTTCTGAAAGGTCCTTACCCCCTTCTTCCTATTGAAATCTGACACATGCTTCAGTGTCCAGCTCAGCTGTTACCTTTTCTATAAAGATAATTCCCCAAACAGATTCAGTTTATAACCTCTTCTCAACCCCCAAAATTGTCTGTCTTCTACAACGTCTACGCTGCCGACCCATTGGATCCTGGCACCCTGAGGTCAGGAACCTACTCTCACTCATTCTTGTATCCTTTGGGTTATCCGAGTGCTTTCATCCTTTCTCATTGTGGTGGTGAATGTTAGCTTTCCCCAATGGAAGCCATCCCTCAGTATTCGTGGGGGATTGATTCTAGGAACACCCAATACCAAAATGCTCAAGTCCCTCATATAAAATAGGCTACGGCATATAGGCCAAAGCAGTGTATGCCTACATAGCATCTCATCCTCGTGGATTCAGTGTAGTGTTAGGCCAGTGGAAAATTCAGCTTTTGGTTTTTGGAACTTTCTGGGATTTTTTTTTTTAATATTTTTGATCCGAGATTGCTTGGATCAGCTGATAGGAAACCCGCAGATACGGAGGACCGACTGTATCTGCCTTTTTTTTCTTCCTTTCTTATATTTTTCACTTGGGCATATGCCTGCCCAGTATAATGACTGCATTTCCCAATTTAGATGTGGCCTTGTGGCAAATTTCATCTAAGTACTGATTTAAGAGCAGGAATCACATAAGAAATTTCTGGATTGTTCCTCTTATAGGGAAATGGTACAATTTTCTCCTACTTCTTTCCCCTTCCTTACAAGTAATCTTGAAACATGCAGATCAAGGCAACATTCTTGGGAACAAGGGGCAACATGCTATAAAGAGATTGTGTCCCCAACACTATGGAGCCACCCTCCAGTTCTGGTATGCTTACACTGAGACTGTTAGATGAAAGAAAATCACACTTCTATGTTTAAGCTTCTGGTGCTTTGAGTCTCCATCACGGTAGTCAAACTTATAACCTAACAAGTATACTTCTGCATTACGGGTGCAAATAATAATTTTTTGGACCGAATAGAATCATGTTTACATAATATAAATTGAAGCAGATGTTTTTTAATGTAGCCATGTTAATGCCTCTTTGGGGATTGTTCATCATTTTTGCTCTTTTGGCTTATAGGTCATCTAATATTTAGGGCAAAAATACATTTGGTTTATTTATTTATATCACCGACCTGTTTGGTGGTGTTTAACAGCATATCCTTTTCTTTGGGAATAGGATTCCAACAGGAAAATTGCTGGATGTGAGTCTAAAACTAGAATATATTACAGATAACTTGGTTCATTTTTCTATGACTTCACATAGGCTATTTTCATTTTCTATAACACTTTGTCTAAGTTTTAATATAATGCCTGATCCTCCAACCAGACTAATTTCTATGAGGAAAGGACCATGTCTGTAAAATTTACTGATGTATCCTAAAGATCTGGAATATTCCATTTATTCATTAATTATTTGTTGGGGGGTGGGAGGAAGAAAGGAAGAGAAAAGATAGAGAAGGAGTGAAGAAAGGAAGGGAAGAAGGAAGAAAGGAAAGAAGGAAATAGGGAGGGGAGAAAGGAAAGAATTCAGAGAGGAAAGCTATGCCACCATGAAAAGAGAGAGAACTAGAAGCCATGTTTGGATCTGATTATTTGAAAGACTCATATAATGGAGAAAATATGTTTCTAAAGGAGAGAGTTTTGAATCATTAAAATTAATTTCTTCTTTATTCTGTGTGGGTAGTTACAGTAGAAAAGGAATAAGCATCCCCCCCCCCCCAATCCAAAGAATTCAAAGCTTGAAAACTTTGCCTATTTGCGTAATCAGCAGTTAACTCCAAAGAATTCTCTATAGTATCTCGGGATGTATGCCCAGGATCGTCCATTTTCTCTTATTTCTTGAATAAAAATTTGCCAGGAGGGATTTGATCAGGCCCCCACCGGCGCTGCAGCCTGACTGAACTTCCTGGTCCTCTAGGTGGTGTTGGAAATGTCACTCGGAGGATCACTGCCAAGTTGGAAAATGACTGCTTATGACTCCACAGGCAGAGAGGGACAGGTGTCTTCATCTGGCTGCCAGCACTTTCTGTGCCATGAGAAGTTTCTGTGGGGAAAAAAGGTAAAGTTTCTTTTGAAATGGGGATTTTAAATTTTCAACACGTCTTAAATCAAACATATTGGACACCCTTGATCTCCCTGCTCACTGATACATTTCCTTCATTTTGCTCCAGGATACCACATCTGTTGGTTTTCCTCCTACCTCACTGGTCACTTCCTCTTGGTCCCTTTTGCTCATTAGAATGCTTCATACCTCATTCCTAGGGTCACTTCGCTTTCCTACCTGCACTTCCTTGAAGAGTCCATTCATGCAGTTCTAAGTACCAGCTGTACTGATGACTCCCAATTTTGTATCCCCAGCTATAATCCAGACCCATGTATTCAACTGCTTACCTGACAATTTTGTGAGCTCTCCACAATGATTACAAGTTAACCACATGAAAATCTGAACATCTCCAGATTTACATAATCTCAGCTGATTGAAACTCCAGCCTTCAGTTGGGGGCGGGAGGGGGGTCGCACGGGCGGGGAATGACAATAGGATTCTAGCTTTGAGGCCTCTCTTCCACATTTCACTGTTGAATCAGCAGACTTCTGTGCACTCCACCCTCAAAGTACATGTAATAAGTTCCAAGACCCCCCAAGGAAGCATGAACCCACAAATAATACCAAACCCTACATATATATTATGTTTTTCCTATACATACGTTTATAAATTAGGCACAGTAAGAGTTTAACAATAATTAGTAATAATAGAGCAATTATAACAATATACTTAATATAAGTGTCAAAGAGTTATGTGGTCTCTCTCAAAATATCTCATTGTACTGTACTTGTTACCAGTGGGTGCCTTTGCATCTCCACCTGTTACTGGTAGAAATGGCGTTCTCGTGATGTTGCAAGAAATGGAATTGCCTGAGACCTGCATGGTAGTATGAGTAATCTTTATTTATGTGGATTTAAGCCTCTGGGTTTCCAACATTCCATTTCCCTCTGTCCCACCATGGAAGAAGTCCAGCCTTGTCTCAGCAGGGCTAGAATGAAGGCCATTGCCCAGTCTCCGCTCTATATTCAAGTACAGCCCAGTCTAGCAACTGGCTAGCTTAGCTTGTGTTCCCAGCTGCAGTTCATTGTGCTTAGGTTCCTCACAGCCATGGGTCATGCAGCTGCTTAAGGCCACATGGCGGGTGAATGCGGGTCACAGGGCAAGAGAGGACCAAGCACTCAAGGGAGGAGGAAGAGAGAGAGAACTCTTTGAGGATTATAACTAGGAGATTAATTGATGGACCCTTCAAGTTTTCACCTGCTTGCAGTGGCTTCACACCCCTTTAGCTAGTTATCTTTTTCCCAGATTAGACTGACAAGCAAGCATCTTCCCTATGTCACCCCAATTTCATTGTGCATGTGTCCATCTCCCCCTTGGTTCGAACCCTTCCCCCAGTGGGAAATGGACCAGTGGTTTCCTGGGGAGCGTGAAGCTATAGCTTCCTGTTGAAGCTGCCCAGATAACCAAGCTTATAATATCTGGCCTCCCCTTTGCTCTCTTTTTATTATTAATATTAATAACTAGCTAATTATGATGATAACATATGTTTCTTGGGATGTTGTGAGATGATACAGTGTCTAGGGAATGACATGAACTGAGGTGGAATTTTCCATTTAGTGTTTTGAACTAAAACTGCAGCAAGAGAAACCATGAATAAGGAAAGACTACTGTACATCCATACTCCGGCTACTTCTCCGTACTTTCACTGTCACCACTGTGGCCTGAACCTACAAAGTCTCTGCTTGCATTATTGAAATAATCTCCTCAGTGGTCTCCCTGATCTTATAATACCTTTCTCCCCTATCACCTAATCCTCAAAGCGCAGAGTGGCCTTTTTAAAATGTAAGTCATATTATGTCTCTATTCCCTCCAAACACTGTCACGTCTCTCACAAAATTACAGCCAAAGTCCTCCTCTTTGTGGCTTTGTGTGGTCTGCCCCCATGACCTGCCTGACTCATCTCCTTCTCTCTCCGTTGTTCACTCTGCTCCAGCCACATGGGCCTGCTGCCGGCTCTGCAAATGGACCATGCCCATCCCACCCTGGCATTTCCTCCACCTGCAATGAATGCTCTTTCCCCAGATACGGACATGGCTAACTCTCTTACCACCTTTGGATCCTTTTCAGTATCAGTTCCCAGTGAGGTTTACCCTGCACCACCCCAAGACCACCTGATGCTCCCACCCCTCCTGATTTATTTACTCTGCTGCTTTTCCCCTAACTATAGCAATTTCACCTTCTAACATTGTATGTAATTTATGTATTTATTATTTTTATTATGCATTGTGCATCGCTCCCACGAGAATAGAAGTTCCATTAATATATAAAAGTTCTATTGTTTTATTTAAATAGTAACTAGAACAGTTTCTGGCACATAGGCGTTCAATAAATATTACTGAATAGGTGGCACTTTATCACTAATGACAGGGACAGGTCAAGTTGGCTGGCTATCACTGCTACTCCTCAGTATATATTGAATGTCCAAGTCAAAGCAAGAGGACCAGGAAAAGAAATGAGCCATAATTAATAGAAAGGACTACAGTGACTATTTGCATGTAATACGATTATCTATGTACATATGAAATCCAGAAAGTCACCTAAAGAGAGATGTAAGAACTAATGAGAGATTCAGTAAGGAAAAAAGAGTCTTGCTAAATATATATATATAACTAACAATTTTATATATTTCAAAAGTGACCAAATATAAAAATAAACTCATGGACATAAATGGACCCAAATTGGAATATGAAAAGACAGAATAAAATGCCTAGAAATACACCTAATATGAAAGATTCAAGGCTTACATGAAGAAAAATATCAAACATGACATCATAAATAAAGTGAGTAGCATACCAAGTTCATAAACAAGAGGATTTATTATCAGAGACAGAAAAATTTTCCCAAAGAAATTGTGATTTTAATCAAAATATTAAAAAATTTCATAGGATTTGACAATGTATTTCAACTTCACATTGAAGAAAAATATTTAAATATATTCATTACCCTCCTACTAAATGTTCTACTAAAGGTTAAATATATGATATTTAGTACAGGAATGGTATTTCAAGTCTCTTAGGAAAAGTCTGACTATTAAATAAATTATTTTCAAATAATTGGCTATTTAATATTTAAAAAGTAAAACTGTACTACAGACATACATTAAGTTAAAGTTTTGATGGATCAAAGAGCTAAAATATTGTAAAAAATGTAGGAAAATATCATATACTTTGTAGTAGAGAATAGCTTCGTTAAAAAAAAAAAATAGCTCTGACTGGTTTGGCTCAGTGGATGGAGCGTCAGCCTGTGGACTGAAGGGTCCCGGGTTCGGTTCCATTCGAGGGCATGTACCTTGGTTGCGGGCACATCCCCAGTGGGAGGTGTGCGGGGGGCAGCTGATCTATGTTTCTCTCTCATCGATGGTTCTGACTCTCTGTCCCTCTCTCTTCCTGTCTGTAGGGAAAATAAATAAAATATATATTTAAAAAATTACAGCATCAAGAAAGTCTAAGAAATCAATTAACCCCTCCACTCTCATAAAAATGAATACAAATATTTTTTTTTAAAATAGGCGAACATAGCTTCCTATTAACTTCTTGCATGAATATCCAGAATATATAGAGTTCCTTCAAATCATTAAAAAAAAAAAGACAAGCCTCCAGAGGACAAAATATATGAAAATATAGCTTATAGAAAAAGAAAAATGAAGACAAGTAAAGGTGAGGAGACTTAACCTTATGGATAATCAGGGAATTCCAAACTGAGAGAGAGAGGATGTTTTTACACGACTAACAAATAAAAAAGTTTTAAAGATTGCCAACATGGAATATCAACAAAGATGTAGGACAATGTATCATACACCCCAGGGTAATAGGTGAATACTTTTTGAAGCCATTTATTGAATGACTCAACTCCCCTGCCACTTTCTTTTGAATGTTGCCTGTGAACCCAGAGGCTCAAAAGCTCATGTTTTTTGTTTTGTTTTTATCTCTTTCCAAATGAGAGACGAAAGAAAATAAGAGGGGCATATAAGAAGCATCCTTCTCTTTTTTATAAAGATGCCATTCTTTCTCATAGATTCTGATGTCTCCTATCAACTCAACCAACCTTTACTGACTACTTACAGCCTCTCAATTATAATTGTCATAGCAAAAAATACATATAATGTTAAAAAACAAACCAACAAATAAAAACCCAGTGAGTCAGATCCCTGTTGGTTTTCTGGGCTGCACAATCTACTGGATGAGGGAGACCCTCTCATCAGTATCTCTCATTCAAGATAGATTAAGTGCTCTGATAAAGGCATACTCCCAGTGCTGTGGACCATGGGGAGGAAGAGATTAATCACTACCATTACCACATTTTAAAAATCAATTTATCAGGATCCCAGCTTTGCAATGAAAGGAAATTTGCCAAGGCACTTAGTACAAAAGTATCCGTATATAATTTTCTTTTCACTAATCCTGTCCTCCAGGCCCTTCTACCCAGTGAGCTATGTACAATTAGCATGGCTTTCATTTATTCTTTTACTTTTATTTTTTTACACTTGCTGGTCAAAAGATGACTCAGAATGGGTGACCTACGATGGGTACACCATCAAAGCCTTATATGGCTTCACTCTTGCCATTTATGATCTCAGAAATACCATACAATAAAGATCATTCATTCTACTCGCATGACAAATACTTTGGAGAAAAAAAATACATGTAAGAAATGTGTGAATGCCTTACATTCTGAAATTGTTAAGGAGTTGTACGTATTGTTCTGTGGACTAGGTCTAGTTCTCTATTCGTTGCAAAGTATACAATTTATCCATATTTACAACGAAGTATTTAGCACAAGGAACTATTTTTGTTACTAAATTGCAAATTATATTTCTTCTCAATTTTATTCACTTTTTCTTTCAACTAATATTTGTTGAGTACCTACTCAGTTCAAAGCACTTTTCTAGGCACGAGGGACACAGAGGTGAATGAAATACACTAACTCTCTGAGGTCGTAGGAC